AGCAGACAGGAAGGGGCCTTGGCCGACCACGCATCTCAGCGACCCACAGGGCAGACCTGGAGAGCCGGACCCGGCCGAGGACAGGCGGGGCGCGGGCGAGGCCGTCCAGGGCCCAGGGCGCAGTCCTGGCTGTCGGCTCAGTGGGCTCTCGGAAGGGCGGTGACCCGCGTGCAGGGACGGACCCCGGGGACAAAGTAGCTTCAGGTCCCTCCCGGAGCCCATGCTTCCTGCGGCTCCCTGGCGGCTGGCTCGGGGCCACATGCCCGGTGGACCCGGTCCGCCCGGCGTTCGGGACGGGGTGCGAGCGTTTGCCTAAGGGGCCGCAGACCCAGGGGGAAAAATCGGCCCTCGGCGCTGCTTCGCGCCCCACCTTGGTGCCCAGACGGGTGCGCCCCACCCCAGTGTCCGGACAGGCGACCCAGCCACCGGCTCAGCCCTGCCCGACGCCGGCCTCCCAGAGGGAGCTGGGCCACCGCACCCACGGGCCTGCGGTGCGTCTCCAAGGGCACGTGTCCAGGGGACTGTACCACAGTCGCCAACAGAGGCAGCACAGCCACAACGAGGAGGCTCTAGACGAGCACGGGGTCACAGAGAGATAGGGCCGGTGACTCTGAGGTCGTGTGTCCCAGGCTACTGGTCGCCCCGAAGCTGACAGAACACTCCTGTGGGTCCTCGGCGAAGGCCACCGCAGCCCGGTCCCAGCCGGTGAACTGCGGCCTCGTGCACTCAGCGCTGGGGGGCACACGCCTGCCCCCAGGGCTGTGACCGTGGCACTTCCCAGGCCGCTGCCTGCACACGCTGTGCTCACCGCTCCCCTCGACGCCACACGCGGCCCCGTCTCCCTCCGCAGCTTCCCGGGCGACCCCGTCCGTCCTGTATTTCTTGGTGCCACCCCCAGCCTGCCTCTCCAGTTAAGGTCTCTCTTCCGAGCTCCGGACGCGTGTGCAGGGCTGGCCTCTGGGAAGCGGGGGCTGGTGGCCCCAGGGGACCCCGGCCTCGCCCGTCCCTAACCGCGGTGGCCTCCACACTGAATGACACGGAAGCCCATAGCGCCAGTGAGCGACGCCGGGTGCCCGGGAGGCCTGGGCCGTGGCACGGGACGGGGGCGGGAGGCGGGGAAGCT